GGCTTTCTAAAACCTCCATGACAACCGCCACAAAATGAATTTTTAGTTTGTGGGGGTTTTGAAAGATAATTAGTGCTAGTTTAAAGTCCCCCAATATGATTTTGATGTGTCAAAAAAAATATTGCAAGAGTTTATAACCCCCTCAATATGATCATAATGGTTAAAAAAAAATATTGCGTGGTTTTAAAAAACCCCAAAATATAATTTAAATATTTTTTTAAAAAAAGAAATAAAGTTATGTGGGGGTTTTGAAAGACAATTAGTGCTAGTTTAAAACCCTCGCAATATGATTTCGACGTGTAAAAAAAATATTGTGAGGGTTTACAAAACCCCATTAATATAATCATAATAGTTCAAAAAAGATATTGTGGGATTTATAAACCCCCAACATATGATTTAAATATTTTAAAAAAAGAAGTTATGTGGGGGTTTATAACTGCTACAATATAATATTAGTGTTCTAAATAAAAAATAGTGGCAGTTTATTTTTGCCACCATCCTTTCTTTTCAGTCAATTTTCTACTGCTGCTTACTGATGAAACTCGTTTACCTTTATCGCAGATGACAGCCAAAGGAACGAATTATAAGAAATAAAAGCATGCAATGTACAATGGACACAGATATGTTTTGGTTTAACCAATCAGATCAGCCTCGAAGGTACAGTTGTGTCTTCAGAACAGTGACTCTTAACAGATTATATACAATATGGCTAGACCATTTGAGATATGGAAGTCTTTTATGTATGCACGGAACCTTTAGATAGGCCTCTGAAATTATCATGCTGGATGATTAGGTAGAAAGTGCAGCTCCTTCTGTTGCTCCTCCATTGATCTTGTGGAAATGGTATATGGTAATCAATATGCTGTCAAGAATGTAATATAAGAATTAGGACACTTCTACAATTATTAGTCGTACTAGCACACTATACATTACACAAGTAACATAAGCAATGATCAGGAAAAACACTCAACATCAGTTTCTAAAGCAATTCCCTGAATCACTATCATTTGTCGCAACTTAACTTCAACAATCTCAAGAAACAAATACAACTACCATAAGATCCTTATAGAAAAA